AGTCCATCTCCAATACCACAGCTCCCTATTGCAGTCAACGAAGGAGAAGCATCTTATGTCCCTTCTCATCTGCACATGACTAATCTGATCCTTGAAGCACAGCAAAGAAATCCGGAAAACTCAGCACCTATCCAGCTCAGGACTGGATGGAACAAAATTTATAGGTGCAGTTGCTGACCACTTCTCAGATGCTGCTCAAACAGAGGAAAGGCGTGAAAACTTAAGGCGCATCAAAGAACTGTGTGGGAACATGTAGGGCATCAGTGAAGTTGCCGGATCTTCAAAACGCAAAAGGAGCTGAAGGTTCTTTCATCAAACAAGGGGGAAAGTATGTGAAAACATTTGTTTTGATGAAAACACCTTCTTGTTTAAACATTGTTTGATTGGTTTGAACATTGCTTAAGTATGCCTTAATTGCGCTTATTATGCTTATCTCAAGTATGATTTTGTCTTAAATTTTTTTTTCTAAAGCGCATACATTCAGGGGGAGTGTATCTCAGGGGGAACTTAACTAGTTTTGGCTAACAATTGTTTTTGGCAATGAATTATCGATAAGCTCAAAGCAATGGAAGACGGATATCTCAGTTTTGGTACTAAAATTGGAAATCTCTGGAAATCTCCGATTCAGGTACCTTACAAAATCTGCCTTCTTAAACTAAGCTTTAGTCCTTAATTCATTTCCAACCAGCTCTAAAAGTACTGGTCCCTAGGATGTTTAAAAATGTACAGGACTTTGGAAAAATAGTACCATTTGCCTTTTTAAATATTCATATTTGTTTTGGTGCTACCTCGTCCTAAGTAGAAGTTAGAACTATAGGGAATGAAAAATGATAGTCTTATTTTGGGCCTTGAGAACCCAATAGGAATAATTTCCCTTTAGTACATAGCTTTCTTTTCTTTTTTGGGCCACTCTTTTGGGCTTAACCAAACTAAAACAGTTACGTTTCTCAAACCAATCGAAACTGATTTTCAAATTAAAACAGTTTCAATTCCTTGGTAACTGGTAAAAGATTCCTTTTGCTTTTCAACTTCTTGGAAGTTGAAACTCCTTTACTCCCACCGTTCCAACTACCCACTTAATGGAACCTGTGAACCTCCTCCTCCCCTATTTAAATCAAGATATCTCAATCCACTTTCATCACAAACAACTCTCCCAATATGAAAAGTCTTCAAACTCACTGTCTAAGGAATACACCAAGAAAAATATCCTCAATGGAGAAACTTTTCTTTCTCACCCTCATAGACGGCAATGGAAGAAGTCTATTGAGAAGAAAAGACTTTTAAGGTCTATGG